TGGAGGCCCAGGCGCGTTGCCCAGGCCTCCACCTCCGCCCCCTTGGCGTCTGGCCGCCGGGAACCCCAAAGTGCCGATTTGGCATTGAAGTCCCCGGCGACCAGTATTGGCCCAGGGAGATACTCACGAACTACGTCCTCCAGGTCTTGTAGCCGGGCTTCTACCTCCGCCCTGGTGGGCTGGGCCTGATGTATACCGCGATCACAACCAGGGGCCCCCACTCCGCGCCACCCACCCTTCTCCCGCTTTTAGTCCGGAGATGGGGAGGTTTTCTCTCCTGTCCTCCTCCGTACGATCGCGGCCGACCCGTCCGTGCTCCCCGCCCAGCAGGGGTTCTTGGGAACACGGTACGGCTCGGCCACGATACCGAGTCCGCAACCACGCTCCGCCAGGCTGTGAAGGAAGAGATCCTGGGCCTGGCGGGCGTGGTTGAGGTTCGCCTGCATCACCTTCATTGCTGTGAAGGCGCCGCTTTACCAGCCTCCTCCTGGCTGTTTCCCCCTCTCGAGTGCTCCTTGGTCCCCTGTGTCGCCTGCTCGATCTCCATGGGCTCCTCTCTCTCGGTTGACGGGCCCGCTTCTGCGTCACTCGCCTTCTTCTTGGCCTTTCCTGATCCGGTTTGACCCTCCTTCCGGTTCTTCCTGGCCGCCTTTTTCTTTTCTCCCTTGGTTGGGGGTCGGCACGCCGCTCCTCCAGCCTTGTGATTGGAGGGCATACCTCTCCCGCTGCACACGGCGCAGTTCGGGATTTCACTGCATCCCTGCGCCTTGTGCCCCTCTTTCCCGCATCTGTAGCACAATGTGCTCCTGTCTATGGCACTTTTGCACTGGGCCCTAACGTGCCCCCTCTCTAGGCACCTGTAGCATACCAAGGGGCGCGGGTCCAACATCTCCACCCTGACTGCTACCCATCCTACCTTTATCCTCCTCGCCGCTGCTGCTTTCTTTGCGACCTCGACCCTGCACTGAACCCAGCAGGTTCCGAGGCCACTGGGGGTCTGTCGGATTGGGCCCACCTTTATCTCGTCCGGTAGGCCCTCTCCGGCCTTAGCCACCGCGTTCCGTATTTCCTCGTCTGTTACGGATTCGTCCAGGTCTTTTAGACGGATCTCTGCCCTTTTGGTAGGGCGGGTGACCCGGACCCCCTTCTCCTCTGCGACCCTCTTAATGTGGCTGGCCAGTGTGTCGGCCTTAGCCTTCGCCTCCTCCCCTCCCGGTATCTCAAGCAGGGTAGCCCCGTTTAGTGCCCTCCTGTGCTTGATATTTTCGATACCCAGGTCCTCCAGGTTGATTTTCGACCTGAGGTATCGCATCCCCTCTCCCGCCTGCCCTTCTGGGAAGGTGATTGCCACCGCCGCGGATTTAGGCGTCCTCCTTTTTGGTGGTTCCCCTTTTCTCCTCTCCTCTCTCGGCGCTTTCCCTGCGGCTTTGTTTGCGGCCGCCGCAGTTTCCGGCTTCCCCGGTTTCGCCGCAGGTTCCTGCCTCACACCCATCGACTTCTTCTTCCCCCTCCTGACAACCTCCACCCAGTCGGTGGCCTGGTTGACAGGGGCCTTTTCCGTCGACGCCTTCTCCTCCTTGGTACCGCGTACTATTTGCGCCGCGGTCTTCTTAGCTTCAGCCCGTAACCTGTCCTTGACTTTGACCACCTCCACCTTAGTGATCTTGGGCAGGTTTCTCGGGTTGTCTCCTTTACCCGGCTTCCGTTCCTTTGGAATGCGGACTAACGCTCCCTGGCACCTGGTAATCAGGTTCTCCAGGTTCCGTCTTACGTCTTGCGGGTCTCCTTTAGTAATCTCTTTAATGGAGACCCCCTCCATGACCTTCTTTACTCCCTTCATGGCTTCTTCGGGCGATGGTTCCTCCATCGCCTTCCTCACTCCTCTTACCATCGGGCGGTGCACCAGTTCATCGCCCTTTTGGGCCGCCACCGGTTTCTCCGTCTTGCCATTCTCCTGCTTTTTGGTTGGGGCCTTGGATCGCGCAGGCTTCGCAGTCGTCATCGGCTTCGCAGGGCTCTGGGCTCGAGTTTGAGGAAGGTGGTCGTCTGGCATCTCCACTGCCATTTCCTCATGTTTCTCCGCCCCCTCCGCTCTTGGTCTGGCCTCCCTTTCCTCTTGTAGAAGCACCATTAGTCTTCCCAGCTGTTCTTCGAGGCTTTTTACTTTCTCCCTCAGCCTCTCAGTTTCCTCCTCCATCTGTCTACCGCAGGAGCCCGCCGTCTTCCTGGCTACCACGGTAGCTGCTGCTCGGAGATTCTTCGAGCACACCTTTAGTTCCTTAACATAGGTGCCCTTGAGATTTTTTGATCTCTCGGCTACCTTAAGCACCACATTGACATTTTCCAGCATTTCTGCTGCAATCTGTTCATTGTTAAGGCCTTCCATCTGCGAGACCGTTGTTCTCTCTGGAGTGGTGTCCCGGGGCAGAACCTTTGGGTTCAACACCTCCTCCAGTGCCTTCTTTTCGGCCTTGAGCCTCTGGATCTCTCGCCGACACTCCTCCTTCTTCTTTTTCTTAATGCCCGCGTACGTCGTGGGCGGTCTCCCCTTCTTCCTCCGTTTCCTGGTGGCTGGGTCCACCGATGAATCGGAGGCCCCTTCGTCACCATCCGTGGGTGGGTCTACGTGCTCAACGTCGACCATCGTCTCCGTGTCGGATCCATCCGTGTCCGCCGGAAGCGGGATGTCCCTCACCACCTTCGAGCACGCTGGCCCGGGCCTCGTGCCGCGTGCGTCTACAGCCGAAGTGCCGGCTTCTCCTTGCCGGGTCGTCCCTTAGGATCTTACCATCCTGCCGTCCTTTGTCCCTTGGGGGTTGCCCGCCTCTCCTTTGTCTCCGCCTACTCCTCTGGTTTTATTTGGTGTGTGCATCATAATGGCAGTGTTTACGAAAACCGGTTCGCCCATCATGGGACCCCCACCTCGGTGGGGGTACTGTCCCCGGTGTTGAAATTCCCTAGTTAAGGACCGGGCAGTGGAGATGCCATTTTCGGGGGAGCCACCCCCTATCCCGGTCAGTGCTTCTAACAAAAAGGTCCCTGGAGACGGCCAGGCCCACTAAGATGCTAAAGCTTTTACTTCACCCCCGAGGAGGAGCGCGCACCGATCCGATCGGCCGCATACTCCTCCCCAGGGCTAGAAGTTGTCAGGGAATTTCCCCCCTCACAGGGTATGAGAGGACGCTGGCTATGCGCCTCTCCACACCCGCGCCCGGACTGCCGGCTTCAACGACCTGCTAGGCTCCAGACGGACGAGACGGGAGCGGTTTTCCCACATTGAACATGCCACTTCCTGCGGACTTTGCCAGTAAACTGGTCTTACGGTCCCGCGTAGTCCATGGCAGAGGTCAGGTACAGACATCACCGCTCGTCCCCGGTCGGGGGGTTTACTACTCCCCCCTTGGTTAGTCTCAGGGAAATATCCACCGGCAGCCGACCGCGGCCCATTCACACACTATGCACACGACCGATCCTCCGCCCTCCACGACCAGCCCCGTACGCCAGGCCGCACGCCCCAGCAGCGGGACGTCGGCCCCAGACGCAGGAGCCGACCGCTTCATCGCGGAGGATCGGGTGTTGGCCGGCAGGCTTGCCGACCAACTCCTCGGACCACCGAGCCCTGCCTGGGAATAAGTCCCAGCGGCCCCGGCAGTCCCCAGGCGATCGGGCCCCGCCTCGGAAACGTCCGAGCGGCCCCGATCCCCGTCTATCTTCCGGCCCTCTCCGCGGATCCTGGGTACCAGTTTACCGCGGAGGTCCGGCCCCTCCCCCCGGAAGAAACGGACCACGTCCGAGTCAACCGCGGGGAGGCCACGGCTTCCGGCCCACCCTTCGGCTAGGACCACGTCCCAATACCTCCGGGGTCCGGCTCTCCCCCGCCAGCGGGCACGTCCACGACGAGCCCACTGACAGAGGAGCCCCCTTGCCACCGTCCCCCTGCCGGAACACCGGCGTGCAATGGGTGACGGTGGCCTCCCCCCGAATCCCAACCGAATGCCGGAGCACCGGCATTCCGCTGCGATTCACGCCCCCTCGTCCGGTGGGTGGAGCAAGCTCCCCCCTATCGGCCCCGGAAGCCGGAGGTTTGCACTCGGGGTACCTCATCCCCTACCGGCGAATGGTCTCAGTTCTGCCTCGACTCACGTCGAGGCAGCCGAGACCGGAGTCGCCGGGCTCCCTGCTTCCCCTTTTCAGGGGAAGGGTAGGCTCTTAGTCGGCGAGCGCCAGTCCCGGAGACCGCCGATGCCTAAAGCGGCACTCAGCGGCTTCCAGACCGACGCTCGCCTACAAGCCCCCTCACCACGACAAGGTGGCCTACCACGAGGGGGTTCGCTGACCACCTAGAAGAATTAGCATATCGTGTGAAGAATATTCTGTCGAGTAATGTTCCCATGCAAACACTTTCGAAAGAACAGTATGAGAAATTTAATGGCACCACACACTGTCACATATGCGAGAAACCGTTCGCGCCAGACGACACTCGGGTGCGCGACCATTGCCATCTAACCGGACAATATAGAGGCCCCGCACATTCAAATTGTAACTTAAATTACAAAGATGCGTAGTTCATTCCAATCGTTTTTCATAATTTATCCGGCTATGACGCACATATCATAATTAAAGAAATCGCTACCGCGTTCGAGGGCACAGTTGATGTATTACCGATAACAAAGGAGACATACATTTCCTTTACAAAAAATGTAAAAAGTACTACAGAAAACTCAAAGCAGCAAAATTGCATAAAGCTGCGATTTATTGACTCATACAAATTTCTGAGTACCAGCCTCGATAGATTGGCATCGTTTCTCCATAGAGACAAATTAAAAATTGTACGATCTGAATTTTCAACATTATCCAGCAACGATTTCGATCTATTGACACGAAAAAGTATATTTCCCTATGAATATGTGGATTGCGTGGACAAGTTGCAGGACCCGCGTCTACCTCCGCGCGAGTCATTTTTCAGTTCTTTGACCGGAGTCACCATATCCAAGAGCGATTACGTGCGCGCCGAGAATGTCTGGCAGCGGTTCTCCATCCAAACCTTAGGCGACTACAGCGATTTATATATGAAGATAGATGTCTTGTTATTGGCCGACATTTTTGAAAATTTTCGCGATAGTAGCATCAACAGTTATGGATTAGATCCCGCGTATTATTATACTTTGCCTGGTTTCACGTGGGATGCCATGCTGAAACACACGCGCGTAAATTTCGAGCTGCTCACAGACATCGACATGGTCATGTTTGTGGAACGCGGTATACGCGGTGGTTTGAGCCAGTGCTCGAACAGGTACGCTCGAACCAATAACAAGTACATGCAGTCTTACGATCCATCGAAACCATCCTCGTACCTGATGTACTTTGATGTTAATAATTTGTATGGTTGGGCGATGTGTCACCCACTTCCATATGCAAATTTTCGATGGATCGAAGATATTACGAATTTCGACGCGAGCGCAATCGCTGCGGACCCATCGACAGGTTACATTCTCGAGGTCGATCTCGAGTATCCGCAGCATCTTCACGACGCGCACATTGACCTACCGTTCTGTCCAACGCGCGATAAACCACCCGGCAAGCGGCAGGATAAACTTCTCGCGACAGTGTATGATAAGAAGCGTTACGTCATACACTATCGCAACCTACAACAGTGCACGCGTCATGGGCTTCGCGTGACAAAAATACATCGTATATTGGAGTTCTCGCAATCTCCATGGCTCCGCGATTACATCGAGCTTAATACTCAGTTTAGAACACGTGCGACAAACGATTTCGAAAAAAATTTATACAAATTAATGAACAACGCGGTATTTGGCAAAACAATGGAAAATGTACGGAATCATGTCGACGTTAAACTTCTAACAAAGTGGGATGGTCGTTACGGTGCGGAGGCGATGATTTCGAAACCAAATTTTCATAGTCGCAGCATCTTTTCAGAAAATTTAATCGCCGTGGAATTGCGAAAACTTGAAGTGAAATTCAACAACCCAATCTACGTGGGTATGTGCATCCTCGACATATCCAAGATCTGCTTGTATGAATTTCACCATGAATACATGCTGCCCCTGTACAGTGACAAGTGTAGAATCATGTATACCGATACCGACAGTCTCATATACCACGTCAAGTGCGAGGATGTATATGAGACTGTGAAACGCGATATACACAGATTCGACACGAGCAATTATCCGGTTGACAACGCGTATGGCATACCGAGTGTAAATAAGAAAGTGCCTGGTCTAATGAAGGACGAAAACAATGGCGCGATCATGATGGAATTCGTGGGACTCAGAGCGAAAATGTATGCGTTGCGAGTCGATGGTAAGAAGGATACGAAGAAGGCGAAAGGTGTCAAAAGTAATGTAGTAGCGCGAACAATATCTTTTGATGATTACACACATTGTCTGCGAGACGAGATCGAGATGACGCGTCAGCAGTCGTGTATTCGATCTAAACTGCATCAAGTTTACACTATAGCCGAGACGAAAATCGCTCTGAGTCCATACGACGACAAACGATACGTCATGCCTGATTCGACCGACACATTACCATGGGGACATTACCAGATACCTCTATAATATATTCACACCATTATTGTACATTATAGAATAGTAATTATTACAAGTATATGTTTATTCACATGTAAAATAAATGACACAACTATATATATGTATATGTATATATGTATTTAATATATTCTTATACATGTTTAATAGAATAAATACATTCTTTAAAAAATTAAAGCACATTGTTCTTGTCTATCCACGAGTTATGCGATCCAGCGAATCCCAACCATTTCACATAAACCTTGTCACCCTTCCTGCGCAGCACTTTTTCTACGAGATACACATCCGGATAAGTCGCGCGATGCAACTCGTACTCGTAGAATGCTCCAGCGACGGGTTCTCCACGGTAAT